GCCACGGCACTCTGCCCAGGGGACAGCTTGAGGCTCTGTCTCAAAAAAAAAAAAAAAAAAAAGGAGTGAGTTATGTTCTGTTTTCCTTTTTCAGATCCTGAGAGTCAGACCTTAAAGGAACACTTAATTGATGAACTAGACTATGTATTGGTCCCAGCCGAGGCCTGGAATAAATTACTAAACTGGTATGGCTGTGTAGAAGGCCAGCAGCCCATTGTCAGAAAAGTGAGTATGTGGATTGTAACATCTATCGGTCAGTGTCTGCACTACAGGTGCTCCTTGTAGAGTACTGACTAGTGTTAACTTTTCTAGGAAAATGAACATATTTAAAGTGCTTGAGGACTTGTTTCTGGTTCTCTTTAGGAATTTGTAGTTATTACTGGTGGTGGATGACGCTACTCACCCAAGATGTTATAGTGAGTAGCCTCCAAACATCAGAGCTGCCCAGTGGCTTGTGTTGTATCTAGTGGTGCTGTGTGTCCTATTTGGAAGGCTGAATGAGAGAAAGCTCCTTTGGGGTATATGGGCCTACAGTAATATCCTACTTCATGTTTCTTGAATCCTTTCTGCTATCTCTTATTTTTTATCCTTAAGAGTCTTTAGCTACATTGTTGAGTAATTAATTTTTTTTTCTTTAAGGAGATAAGGCTGGAGGGCAGTGTGACAATCATAGCTAAGGACAGCCTTGAACTCCTGAGTTCAAATGATTCTTCTATTCGACCCTCTTGAGTAGCTGGGACTATAGGTGTGCACGACTATGTCTGGTTATTTATTTATTTTTTGAGACACTTTCTTGCCCTGGTAGAGTGTTGTGGAATCATAGCTCACAGCAACCTCAAACTCTTGGGCTCAAGTAATCCTCTTACCTTAGTCTCCCAAGTAGCTGGGAGTTTAGGCACCTGTCACAGTACCTGCCTATTTTTTTCATTTTTTAGAGATGAGGGCTTGCTGTTGGCTCAGGCTGGTCTTCAACTCATGAGCTCAAGCAATCTACCCACCTTGGCTTCCCAGAGAGCTGGGATTACAGGGGTGAGCCACCATGCCCAGCCCAGCCTGGCTAGTAAAAAATAAATTTTTCTTTTGTAGACATAGGGCTTTTTTTTTTGAGACAGGGCCTCAAGCTGTCCCCCTGGGTCGAGTGCTGTGGCATCATAGCTCACAGCAACCTCCAACTCCTGGGCTCAAGCGAGTCTCCTGCCTCAGCCTCCCAAGTAGCTGGGACCACAGGTGC